CGGGCGGGGCAGGCCAGGCCGCGCTCTCGTCGCTCTGGGACCGCGGAGAGCCGGGGGCAGAGGGGAGCACCGCTGGGCTCGGGCGGCCGCAGGGGAGGCGCCAGCAGCACCAGGCTGACTTACAACAGCAGTTACTATTAGCAATAGAACAATAATAATGGAATATTGCTAGTAATAATAATGAAGGAGCTAATAATGATCCATAATGAATAATAATAACGATCCTATAGTCACTATCATCCTTAGTAGCCAGTTGTCAGTGACTCTAAGCATCCAGAAATGCGGTAACCCCCCCAAATTTTTGGTGGGTTACCTCAGCGGTTCTCAACTGGTCTAGACACAAGACCCCCCCATAGTCCCAGGCCACCTTGGGGAGATGCCAGGTCTCAGCTCGTGTTCCTTCCTGCCTCCAGAAAAATACCTTTCAAGGAATGTCTGCCTGCCACTGCCAGCAATAGGTCTGAGCCCCGTGAATCCCAGTTGAAATCCATTCTGGATTTGTCTTGGGAACGGCATTTGCTAGTATTGCCAGGCCACCTCTGGCAGCCTTGAAAGGGTCTGAAAGGCAACTCATGCTGCATTGGTAACACATTGGGGAGGCATGGCGGCGGGCAGCGCTGTGTTTTCCCAGATTTCTATGCCAGTGGTGAGGCATGGGCTGCAGCCGAGCCAAAGCCAGCGCCCAGCTGCAGCAGTGCGATTTCTGCGCTGAACACAGGGCTGCAGCCCAGTCAGTGCCAGCACCCGGCTGCAGCAGGGTGGTGGCAGCACAGAGTTGTACCCCCCACTATCAACATTACACCCATGGGACCCTGCTTGACAATCACTGGTTCACATGGACATTTAAACAGCCCTGTGTTTACAGCTTTTTTTTTTTTTCCTTCCTACATGTAAATAAAGTTCTCTTGGCTTGTTGCGTGAGTTTCCAAAAGCGTCAAAAAACATTTGGCAAGGAGTGTGCCACTGAAAACCCAGAAGCAAACTCAGTTGATGCAACATTTTTGGGCTCCACAATTCAAAAAGGATGTGGAGAAGCTTGAGAGAGTGCAGAGGAGAGCCACGTGCATGATCAGAGGTCAGGAAAACAGACCTTGCGACAAGAGGCTAAGAGCCATGGGACTCTTCAGCCTGGAAAAGCGCAGGCTCAGGGGTGATTTGGTGGCCACGTATAAGTTTATCAGGGGTGTTCACCAGGATCTGGGGGAACATCTGTTCACCAGAGCGCCCCAAGGGATGACAAGATCGAATGGTCATAAACTCCGCCATGACTGTTTCAGGCTGGACATAAGGAAGAACTTCTTTACTGTCCGAGCTCCCAAGGTTTGGAATAGACTGCCACTGGAGGTGGTTGAAGCACCTACTTTGAACGCCTTCAAGAAACATTTGGATGTTTATCTTTCTGGGATCCTATGATCCCTGTTGACTTCCTGCCCCTGGGGCAGGGGGCTGGACTCGATGATCTTCCAAGGTCCCTTCCAGCCCTAATGTCTATGAAATCTATGAAACATTTGACCAGCTTACTTTTTTATATATATATATATAAAAACAACCAGGCATAATCATCAGGATTCTCCATGTCTCATTATCATGTGATTTAGTTCTGAACAAATAGATTGAAGCTGAACAGCCATATACAAGTATCTTGAAGAACTTGCACAAAACTACCTTATTGTTTTTAACTGTTAGAAGTAATGTGATTAATAGATAATCACCTTGTAGATAACTGGGACAGAAGAAATGGCCAAACAATCAAGGAAATAAAACCAACAAATTGACATCTGTCACGAAATATGAATGACTGACTTAGTACCACAGAAATAAAGTGAAGTACTTATTCAGTGTCAGGATTGACTGTAGGTTTCACAGTGGGAATTAAGTTCAGTTCTCACAATAGCAGCAGGCTCTGGCACATCCTCACAATAGTAGCAGGCTCTGGCACATCCAGTGTCTGCTACTTGATTTTCTCCTATAACAGTGGCCACAGCCTTTCTGCACCAGCTTTACAGGCTATCCAGAATACAGAGCCACAAATCCCTGCATCTACAAATCTCTCCTTGAGTCAAGGCAAAAATCTTAGTCCTAGCACATTGAAGTTTCCCCCTGATCTCAGGGTCCCATCATACTACAAGGCTTATGCTGTGCAGGAGGTCTTGTGCTGAAGATGGGACTCTGCAGGGTTTTGGGAGCAGGAGCCAGAAAGGATTTGATACCTAGGGTATTTGCCTTACTAGTGGATGCAAACATCTGAGTTGCTGTCTAGGAAGAAGATTTTAGAACTCATTTTTAAAACTCAGAGAATAAATTGTAGCAGCTTTTAACATTCTGATACACTAGGCAATCCAAATGTCATAGCATTGTGCTAGTCATGCGAAACTAAATAAACTGATGGTAACCCCGAAGGAGAACTGCTGTAACGAAGCAGGCTCATTTAATCCTTCTAGCAGTATACAGATACAAATAGTAAGCAAACACTATCAAATTAAAATACTGGCTTTTAGTTATTTAAACTCAAAGTGTGATTTTAAAAAAAATGTAAGCGATGGGTCATTTTTCAAGAGCAGTAGTTCACTTGCCCAGGTTCCTAAGTAGATATAAGCAGGGGGATAAGTTGTAGCCATATTGGTCTAAGGACATGGGCAGACAAGGTTCTTTGGGTAAATCTGCTGTCTTTTATTAGAACAGGTCATAAAATGGTTGCAAAAATTCTTCTTGGCAAGCTTTTGGGTATAAATACCCTTCGTCAGGCTGAGGAAACATCTGCAGTTGGTGTGTGCTCAGATGCTTCCTCAGCCTGATGAAGGGTATTTATATCCAAAAGCTTGCCAAGAAGAATTTTTGCAACTATTTGACCTGGTCTAATAAAAGATATCAGATTTACCCAAAGACCTGTGTTTGCCTAAGTGGATATAAAAGCTTCTAAGTGACTAGTAAGGTTATAACAAGCATTGCAATTGTGGCCTTTGTTATACAAAGAGTCAAATAGAAATGCAAATAGATTCTTATGTCTAACCCATAGTTCCTAGGTGAGGTAGAGCTCCTATTTTAGAAAGCATCTAATCTTGACATAAAGGCTTGAAGTTAGGAACAATCCACTATATCCTTAAGTAGCTTGTTCCAGTGATGTGAAATGCACACACAATTAGGGGGTGAGGGATGGGGAAGAAAAGCTTAGTCTTCTTGTTGTCGATTTCTAAAGACGGTTTTAAATGTTAATTCAAGTAAAAGTTTTCCTTAGAATTATGACTTTGTTTTGAATTTTTATTAAGCTCTATTAAAATTAGAGCTAGTTGGGAAATTATATTCCACACACATGCATGTACCCCTTAAAATAATAGTTAAAAAATCCCACTCTCAACCAAAGCTTCAATTTAGGGTAGATTTCCACCACTTCTGATGATAGTATTTTGTACAGCAAAGTTGGTTGCAATTTTAATTAATTTCTATCCATCTTGACTTTGCAGGATGACACAGTGGTATCAGTTGCAGCAACTCGATTCCAAATTCTTGGAACAAGTACATCAGCTGTACGATGACAGCTTTCCTATGGAAATCAGACAGTATCTGGCACAATGGCTGGAAAACCAAGACTGGTGAGAGTAAAGCACTGTGATAGTAATTTATTGTTAAACTAATTGACCAGTGTACCTTTGTAATGGTAGAGCAAGCGGCTGTGCAGGACAGAACAATACTAGGGAAGCAAGCTGCTAGATAAACCTCTGTTTGAGTAACTAGTGGCTAGCAGGAGCAGGCATTTAGTAGTTCCCTATGTGGCTGATAGTCACTATTCCCCATTAGGTGTACACATCTGGGTCATGTTTTGGTTTCTTCACCAGGAAGAGCCTGTCAGTCCTTTTAATGGAGAAGAACCAAACAAGTTCTTCCACTAGTCAACTTTGAAGAATAGATAATCTGTAGGAGGCAGTGTTGCAAGAGTTACCCAAGTAAAAGAAAAAATATAATATTACTTCATTAGAGATGAGAATGAAGGACTAAGCAGTTTAGAGAGAGAATGGAATTGGGTGAAATACAGGCAGTCCTTGGACTTACGACACGAGTGGTTCCTGAAAACGGTGTCTTAAGTCGAAGTGTTGCAACTCGGAACCAATTTTCCCATAGGAAACAGTATTATAAATGGGGGATTGGTTGCTGAACCAAGCCCCGATACCCTATTTACCCCAAAAACAACAGAATTTTGTACTCGATCAATTATAGATGAGTAATATAGCTACATTAATGTGTTTATATTGTAAATAGCAATCATATAGATTTGAAAGGACTTATTTGAGGTAACTTTGCTGGACTTTTTGAAGGGCTCTTGGCTGGAGTCTTCTCAGGAGTCTAGGCTGAGGTTTGTCTGCTTTCTTAAAGAAAATGTCCAAGGAAGTTTGGACAGATGTTCTCCAGGGAGATGGGCAACGCAGTGAATTTGTTTGCTGGCATGGCCTGGCGTCAGATCAAGCATTGTAAAATCAAAACTGATGTCAGAAAATTGAAATGGTGTCAATTTATAAACATTGTAAGTGAAAAACATTGTAACTCAAAATGTTATAAGTTGAGGACTGCCTGTATAGATAATTCTTGAGGAGGAGGGTGGGGAGAGGGAGAAGTAAAAGGTCCACCCCAGATCTAGTAGCTCATAGGAGTTGTGTGGTTAAGGCATACCCAGTTCTGGAGCTAGTCACAGGCAAGAGTGATATGACTGCTATTGCATCCAGCCACCTTTGACTTCCCCTGGTCTGAATGACCAGGTATCCACTTATAGCTAGGTCAATAGTTCTGCAAAAATCCAGAGAGCAAGGCTCAGATTCCTCCTGGTGGTTAAGTGCTCTGCCTCCTTCATGCTCTCAAAAATAAGACCCCAAAGCCTTAAAAAGTGTTTCCTTCTAAATATTAAATAACTGCTTAATTGTGCACTTAACTAATATTACAATTTGTTTTTAAATATTGTAGGGAGCATGCAGCCAACAACGTTTCATTTGCTACTGTGCTGTTCCATGATCTCCTGTCACAGCTAGATGATCAGTTTAGTCGTTTTCTGATAGAGAACAACTTTTTGCTGCAACACAACATAAGGAAAAGCAAACGTAATCTTCAGGTATGTCTGATGTATACTTATCTACTGGTTTATGTATTCACACAGGCAGATGTCAAGACCATAGGGAGGGAAAAAAACCCCATCACATTATATTTAAAAAAAATTCTTGAAACTTAAGAAAAAAAGTTATACTTTGCTTGAATTTTTTAGCTTGCCAATGTTCTGAGTAACTCTTGAGAAAACCATAACTTTAATTACATTTTACTATATCTATTTTGTCAGCAATTTATTTAAGTTCAGTTTCATGTTTTTATTAGTTTTTCCTGTGGGTCTAAATAAAGCAATGAAGGAAAGAAAAAAAAATTGTTTTCTGATGTGATTTTGCAACAGTAAAAAGTAGCAGAGGACATGAGGCTAGACAATTTAATTTTAACTATTTTTTGATCAATATAAATATTTCCATGGTCCCATTAATAAATAGATTCAATCTGCACTTTAGAAAGTGGTTATAGGCTTAACATAAAACAATATTGTATAACTTGGATACAAAACAAATATACTTTTTAGGCACTTGAAAGGGGGAGCAGTGTCCTGGGAGTGCACAACAGCTGTTACAACTGTTACCTGTAATAGTACAAAGGCAGATCTGGCCCTAGATAAAAGCAGGGTTAAAGTTAGAGTGGTTTTGCTACATTTGTATGGCTACAGACACATGCAGACATAACGGTTATAGCATAACAACCTGCATGGATATTCTTTGATAGCAGCACTGTTAATTCAGTCTGTACCAGTGATTTTCAACCAGGGTGCTGTGGCACTCTGGGATGCCTTGAGATCCTTTCAGGGGTATCCTGGGGTGCCACACAATGTTAATACTGTTAGGTCTGCAACCAAAATGTGTAAGATAAATCCAAAGTTATAAAATAGGAATCTGTAGTGTTAAAAACCTTTCTGACCTGTTGTTGCCTTTTTGAGCTCTTCACAAGAGAAGAGCTGCTCTATTTTTCTGTAGTCCAAAATACTGGTGCGGGGAGGAGGGTGAGAAAAAAAAAAGAGCTGGTATTTTCTGAGGGGTGCCTCAAATCTGAAAAGGTTGAGAACCACTGGTTTATACCTTTTGTACCAAATAATGAATAATCATCATTACAGGAACAAGATGTAGCATTACATAGACTTGTTCTATAGAATTATATTGAGGAGATAACGGTTTGTTTTTATAGACTAGAAATCTCATTAACTTCTAGTAACATCAGCAGAAACGGCAACAGTTTTAGTAACATAGCTGCCATATAAAAGTAACGGTGCTAATGACAGTGCACCGTACTCCCACCAGGATAGAAAAAAAAATATCAAATAAAAGAGGAAAAGTAATAAAGCAAGATGACAATTGATATAATGTAGGATGCTACGGAAGGTGAATTTAGCAGATTTACTAGTTTGTGAATTCCCTGCCCACAGTCCTGCTCTTCTTGTACAAGTCTGAGCTTTTTTTCCATAAGTATGCTGAAAAGGCTACTACAGAACTGTGCTCCTTGACAGACAGAGTGAGACCCTCCTAACAGCCTCTCTGCCCTCATCTCCTGTACAACCAGCTTTATACAGTTAACTTTTGCATCAGGCAGTGCTCTTCCAGATAAAGTGGTGGCCACCATTGGCCCCATAAAAATGCTTTCGGCATATCACAAATGAGACACCTGGATTTGTGCCAAGCCGTAACTCCAGTCTTGAGCAAGAGCTGTATGTTGAGTTTTGCAGCCAACGTGTGAAACTAGCAGCTGCACCAGTAAAGTTGTCCCCCAGAGTATTTGAGGAAAGCTCCAGGGATAGGGCAGGTGGAGTGGCTCTTGCATTCCTGGAAAGGGTGATGCATGATTCATACTTCCTATAGTTCTGGTGGGCACCGTGTTCTGATAAATGCAGTCTGTCCCCTGGAGACAAAGCACATCCACTGCACTTTGGCCAAACTTGTTGCGTGTTGGTTTGGTCAAGGGGATGAGAGTCGGAGTGTTTTGTGTGTGTATTAACAATGGGCTGTTTTTAACACCACAAATCTAGGATAATTTTCAAGAAGATCCAATACACATGGCAATGATAATCTACAACTGCCTGAAGGAAGAAAGGAAAATATTGAGCAGTGCCCAGTCATCAGACCAGGTAAGTTCATTTTCCAGTGTCAGTTGCAGCTGTAGTCACTAGTACACATTGTCATTGTCAAACTAAAACAAGCATCATATGTTTGTTTCATGGTCCTCTTTCCTCTGGCTCCTGTTTTAAAAGAGGAAGCTGCTAAATTGCCTGATCGGCTGTCACAAACATCTATCCCAGAAGTGTGTGGTTTGTTTTACGCTGTTCATTTGGGTAGGTGTAATTTAATGGTTGTGAAGTGAACTTTGTTCCTTGGACAACATTATATCCCAAGGTGCCTTCATAATCTGATCAAGCATTAGATTAAAATAGAGAAAGCTTTCCGAATGAGACTTTACTGTGTTGGTGTTTTACTTTAATAATAGAGTCTAAAGTGGTGCGATTTTTCCCATCAGGCTATATTATGACAATCCATCATCTGATTTATCTTTGCCATGGCCAATCCCTTCAGTATTGGTGGGAGTCTAGCCTTCCTCCTTTTTGCATTTTACTTCTACACCTATCTTATGCTAACCATTTGTCTTCCTCCTGTTCACCTACTTTTGATACCACATACTCCCTTTTTCCATCAACTCTTTAAAATATTTCTGTGGAGCTTTCCTCTCTGTACTAAATTAATAGGTAAAAAGGTAGAGTAGCCACCACAATGTTCCTTCCCTTGGTTGTTACCTGTGGTGCTAGATCTCTTTGCTCACCCCCCCAGCAGTCTTTGTAATAAAGAAGAGAAACAAACAATACATTTCAGGCAGAAATAAAACTGATGCTGCAAAAGGTAAAGACATCAGCTATAATATTGTAATTTAAAAAAATCTTGATTCATCAAGAAGTAATTAATTTGGTATGACAGCCTACTGGGTTTGGCTGGCCTTTGACTACAAAGGCTCTGTCTGGTTTTTATACTGAATTGGGCTCGATCAAAGATTTCTCATATCCTGCAACCAAAAATAACTAAATAAATACAATTCAAAATACACATGCATATGTTGTGTGGGACTTTCTTTTGCTTCTGGAGTATCTATATAATATCACATCACAGAAAGTATGTGGAAGTAATTTTAATGATTTTACTGAAATCCACAAAAATGGAACTGTATGACAAGTTTATAAAAATGTACGCTTCTTGGGGAAACTGAGCAACTAACTGAACAAAATTGTAGTTTTTACAACACAAAGATTGCCCTGTGTTTGAAGAGTCCTGAAATGTCCCTTAGCCATGGTATTTTAAGGACAAAGGAGTATTTGCTCTTGGTTTGGTTAACTCAGTGGTTCTTAGCCTCTTTAGACTCAAGGTCATCCCTTGGAAAATGCCAGTTCTTAGCTTTGACTTGTTTTTGACTACAGAAAAATATAGCAATTCCTCTGTTGCAACGAACTCAGAAAGATGACAGCAGGTCAGAATGATGATTTCTGCCATGGATTCCCAATTGAAATCTCTGGGTTTGTTTTGAAACACATGTAGGTGTTTCTATACTTAACAATGCTAATATTGCAAGGCACCTAGTGGCATCCTTAAGAGGATGTCCGATTACCCCAGTTGGGAATCACTGAGTTAATTTATGTCATAATCCTCATTCCTTGGATAATATTTTGGATCTAGTTTTTAAATAATTACATCCAAACTACATCCACCTAAGAGCCCTACACAGTCAGCTGTACCCACATTTGCTCACTTTGCGTATGCAAACAACTAAGGCTAGAAGTAGACATCACCAAATGAAGTGAATTAGTTGTGCTATGATGTGTTTATTGTGAAATAGCTGATCCACTTCACTGGATCAAACGCAGGTCACCCCTTTTCCTACCCTTGATGGTGTGGGACAAGGGGCAATATCATTTCCCCACTTTCCTTGCTAAGCCAGACCTGTTCCCAAAGTCACAGGGAAGCGGTTTTCCCCAGCCAACTGGACCTACAGATCTGGGTGAGTGGGGAAGGTGCTAACGAGGTAGATGTCCACTGAAATAAAGTTGCAGAGTTTATTACAGCTTTTTGTTGCACCACTGATTTTTCTTTCATGTGGAGCAACAAAGGGTAATGATGTGTATTTGCTCAGCAGTTCTGCTGCCATAGAAAATTTTATGGTGGCACAAATGAGACATCAGGTGACATTTGTTTCCACCCTGAGTGATTCTTGCTATTAGCTGTGTCTGCACAGAAATCAAGTCAAACAAAAAAAAATAGCTGTCTTGGATGTTTCTCTCTCTTTAAATTGTGGTACAATACAAAAAAAAAAACCCTGAAAAAATTACTGCACGACAAAAAAATAGAGTAGCTTATAAAGAAGTGATCTAAACATAGTACAATATCATCCAAAAAGCAAAGTTCTAGATATTTTCAACCACCTAGTCCCTTAAACATCCATGACGTTACTTACATTTAGACATTTTTGGAGATAATATATACTAACAGTTCATGAACTGTCAGAAAAAAGACTATACTAACTGTACTTTGTTAGAGGTCTTGTCTCAGTGTAATGTAGGACATTGAGACAGGACAACATATTTCCTTACATATGCCATGTACCTTTCCTTCAGAAATCAGTTCCCCAAAATTGGGGTGCATGTTTTAAGCAGGGAAGCAGATTTTGGAATGAAGGGGCACCAGGCCTTTGTGCCCCTTCCTGGGCCAACACTCCACCCCTTCCTTTGAGGCCTGTCTAGAATAGAAGCATGGAAATGCTGTAGGATTACTGCTGCTGTTTTTTCCCACTGTTCCTTCCCCCACTTCTCCCCATTTACTACATGGAGGGAGGAGTGGAGGCCAGTCTTCAGCAGTAGTTGCAGTTTTAATCCTTTCACAGCTGAATTGGAGCAGGGACAGAGCCTGTTTTTCAGCTCACTTCCCTTTCCTTTCCTGCTTAGGCAAAAGCCACCAATTCATTTGTGAATGGGTTACAATTGTAGTTTTCACCTGAGCAGGGAAGGAAGGGGGAAATGAGCCAATGTGTAGGCTCCGTCCCTTCTCCATGCAGCCACAACTCTGGAAAAAAAAAACTCTCTCCATTTTGCCTTCCCACAAATAAGGTGTGTGTCTTATTTGGTAGTATGAGTTATGCAAAAAAATATGGTAGTAATCAAGGCCAAAAGATACACTTTTACTTTATATGTTAACACTGATTTGATTCACTTTTGGTTTTGTTTTTTTTGTCCTTCTCTGTACTGCTGCAGAGGCAGGTGGGAAACATACCTAATACTGTAATGCTAGACAAACAGAAGGAGCTTGACAGAAAAGTTAAGAGTGTAAAGAACAATGTGGTGGTAAGTAAACTCTAAGTAGACTATCACTTGGGCTTTGCTGGGCGATATACATCCATTTCTAATGAGAAAAAAATGTTTCCATGGTCTAACTTCCTGAATCTTAAGTATAGTTTTGAATTAAATCTCCTGGACAACGTAGTTATGAATAAAACTGTTTTGTTTTCAGCTTTAAAAAAAAGAACAAAAAACAGCGGGGTACAAAAACATTGCATAAAACTAAATCATTATCTAGCATTACTAACACTCGCATAGATCATTCTTTTAGCTTAGATCTGGATATTTTGGTAATACCAAATAAAGTGTCTAAGAAGTTTCAAACATGAGGAGAATATTTTTGCTCCCTTTCAAACCAGATAGCTGACAGTACTATAAGAGAAGGAAGTATTTTGAGAAATCATATCCTTTGCTAAGAAGGAGGCTGGACGCTCAGTATGAAGCAAATCAAGTTCTCTTCTCCCTTCCTGTGACAAGGGTGACTTCCAGGCTCGATGTTTGCTCCGGTCCACCCCCGTCTCTGAGCAAACCACCCCCCTTGCTCACCTGCCACACTTTGTTGTTAAATACTTAGGATGTTAAATAGGTGGGAGGCTGCCCTTCAAATGCCCCAGTTGTAACAGGGCAAAGTTTATATGCTTCAGCCACCCCTTAAGTGTCCCATGCCTTGCAGATGTTATGCTATATAGTAAACCGCTCTGGCTTACAGCCAGGCTGAATCCAGACCTTTGTAAGGTGTCTAGCATACCACTTCACCTACCTGCCACCCCCCTCTCACAAGGGCCTCTTTCACTCAGCCCTCTAGGCCGCATACACGCTGCCTTGCTTCCACGGAGATGATTAGGCTTGTCCTCTCACACTTCAAGCAGCCCTAGCCCAGCCTGTTGGGCCTCTCTCACAGCCCTCATTTGAGTGGCGGCTGCCTGATCACCTCATGCCAGGCTAACTCTGCCCTGGCCCCTCACCAGGCCTCTGTGCCCCTTCCTGGGCCAACGCTCCACCCCTTCCCTTGGGGCCTGGGGTCAAATGCCCCCTTGGACTCAGCTGCTTCCTCATAAGCTTACTGGCCCTACAACTCTGCCCTTCCCCTCACAGGGCTTGGGGTTCCCCTCCTTACAGGCTCAGGTGCTTCCTAAAGCCCAAGTCCCCAGGGTCATCCAGCCCTACAGGCTCAGGCACTTCAAGAAGCTTACCTGGCCTACCTGGCGCCACACACGCTCCCAACCCACCAGATGGTGGGGGCTGGGGTTGGGAGCGTGTGTGGTGGCAGGTAGGCCAGGTAAGTCCTTGGCTGCTCAGCCCAGACTGCTGCCTTTCTGGCCTCTGTTTGAAAATGGCCACCACAGTCAGCCACCTGGTGGCTGCGTGCTCCAGCCCTTAACGTGACAGAGCACTAAAGCTGCTCCATCACCCCCCCCGCCCCCCCCAAAAATCTTGTTTGATATAAAAAAGTTATTTTCTGTAGGCCAGATGCTCCAGTTCTTATTCCTGAACAAGGATTGAGCATTTGACTTTCCATATTTAAGTGACATCTGAAGATTAAATTCTACCTCTATATAATTAATGCACAAGTCCCCCTGATCTCTTTGGAAGCATGAAACGATCAGATCTGAATTTGGCCTCCTTCGTTAATAAACATTTCCACTGGCAGAAAAGACTGAAAACAAGTAACAAATCCATTTGGGGAATTTTCTTTCTTTCTTTCTTTTTGATTGTACTTGCCTTATGATTACAATAAGGTGTGGGTGTGGAGGTACAATACACGAGGTACAATACACAAGGGTGTGGAGAACACCCTCTCCAAGTTTGCTGATGATACCAAGTTATGGGGCAAAGTTAGTACACCGGAGGGCAGGGAGCAGATTCAGGCTGACCTGGACACGTTGGATCAATGGGCAGAGAGAAATAGGATGCAGTGTAATAAAGATAAATGTAAGGTACTCCACCTGGGAAGGAGGAACCCCCAGCACACCTGTAGGTTAGGGAGTGTCCTTCTTAGCAGCTCAGAGGCAGAGAGGGATCTTGGAGTCATAATTGGCTCCAAGATGAACATGAGCCGGCAGTGTAACAAGGCCATCAACAAGGCCAATCGCACCTTGTCGTGCATTAGCAGGTGCATGACTAATAGATCAAAGGAGGTGATGCTTCCCCTCTATGCGGCACTGGTCAGGCTGCAGTTGGAGTACTGTGTCCGGTTTTGGGCACCACGCTTCAGGAGGGACGCGGGGAATCTTGAGAGGATCCAGAGGAGGGCCACTCGCATGATTAGTGGCCTTTGTGATAGACCCTACGGGGGGGAGGTTGAAATTGCTGAATCTCTTCAGCCTTCACAAGAGACGGCTGAGGGGAGATCTTGTGGCTGCCTATAAATTTATTAGGGGAGGTCAATGGGGAATAGGGGAAGCACTGTTTACTAAGGCGCCCCAGGGAGTGACTAGGAATAATGGGTGTAAACTAGTTGAGAGGGGATTTAGGTTAGATATTAGGAAGAAATTTTTCACAGTAAGGGTAGCCAGGATCTGGAATGGGCTTCCAAGAGAGGTGGTGCTGTCACCTAGCTTGGAGGTCTTCAAGAGGAGGCTAGATAGTCACCTGGCTGGGGTCATCTGACCTCGGTCCTCTTTCCTGCCAGGGGCAGGGGGTTGGACACCACAAACTCTCTCACAATGATCCATTGTGGTCCCTTCTGACTCTACAATCTATGAATCTATGATAAGAGTTAGATAATGATTGAGTTAATCAGTAAAAGTCTTAGATGGTCTGAGAGCATGACAAACAAACCAGGTGCTATAGAGGAAAAGGAGCAGGACTTTGCTGCATGTCTAGTGCTCTACAGTTATTATCTGTTTGCCTGCTTTTACTATAAATAAAAGTTAATCCACAGTAGCTTAGACCTCTTTAACTGAGGAATTGGCTATCATCTACTACAATTTACTAACTGGAGGAGTAGCTAACTGTCAATAACACTTCTGTCCCTTTTATCTCACAGTACCTTGTTTATATGCCTATGCCATAAGTTCCTTTTTTTTTGTGGGTGCACGTGCAACTGAAATTGTTTTTACTTTGTAGGAAGTAGAACAAGACATCAAGACCCTAGAAGATGTGCAAGATGAATATGACTTCAAATGCAAAACTTTACAGAACAGAGGTAAGATTCATCCATGACAAATCTGATCAGAGGTATACAGTATGTAAAAAATTTGCAATAGGTATAGATTGTTCTAGAAATCAGACTTCAGAGGCGTAGGGCAAATTCAGGTGGGAATAGCATGTGGTGGGAATAGCATAATTTTCTTTTGTTCTGCTTTAAGTTCTGAACAAAAAAAAGAAAGGATGAAAAAATCATATACAGGTAAATGTTTTACAGTGTTAAAACCAGGACTGCCCAACTTTAGAGCCCCCGGGAACCACACCAATGCAGTCCACATCAGGTATACTGCATGGATGCCTTTCACTTTCACCACTCCAACTGCTGCACCATGCACCCACCATCACTGAGCCATGTGGGCATGCAAGCACAATCCCCCTACCATCCCCAGTGCAGCTTGCACCCACTGCTGCACTGCAATGAATCATTCCCGCACCCCTATGTGGCGATGATTTCCCCCCACAACATGGCTCCAAACTCTCTGTTAGCTCCTAGCTCTCCCCTGCCTTCTGGGACAAAGACACAAAGTGATAGTTAGAGTGAGGGACAGGGGGGATCCTGTAGACTTTGCCTGCTACTGCAGGCAGAGCAATGGAGGGAGGATGGCAGCCAGTTGAGAACCTAGGGACTGCACATAAAACCGCCGTGGGCCATCACCTGAACAGCCTTGTTTTGAAAAAAGCCAAACTATTTTTAAAAAACTAGAAATATCAAATCCAAAAAATCCAATATATTTTGTGATAGTTCATCTTTAAATCCAAACTGTGGAGCTTCAGCCGTCTTCCTGCTGTCAGGCATTCTGTCATCAGTGGTTGCTAACCTTCCCACATTATATACAGGCACCATAAAAAGCAAGATTGACAAGGAGAGCAAAAAAGTGCAGCACACTACTTGCCTAGCCTGACTGCCCATGTGCCAGTGAATGTTGGGGATCACTGCTCTACACAGACACATACATACATAACTGATAAAATGTTTAGTAAAGAGGCAGTTGCTTGCCAATACCATACATATAATCTCAAATAGAGTGCGATTCCATATGCCTTAAACTAAAAAAGTGATTACTGATACACGTATAAGATAGAAATTCCTTCTGGGGTGAAAATGGACCTATTTGGTCTCTGCTAAAAAGAGTATTAGTTCTTCCTCACCTCCCTAAGACTAGGAAAGGTGTGGCTTAATTTTTTTTTTTTTGGTTCCTCTTCTCCCTCTGACCAATTTAGGGATGTGTTCCTGCACCATTTTAGTTCAGAAATGTTTGGTGACATGGGATTTGAACCTAGACTATTAAAGTGTTTTGTTGCTGCTGTTGTAATACATTCTTGTAAGAATGTGTCTGCAGTGAAGGATAGCCCGGTGCAGAGATACAGAAGCTTGTCAGTATGCACTAGCAGAAGGGCAGTAACTGTGAAATTGCACTGTGCCCAACCTAATCAATCTGCTGATATGGACATGAGAGCCATCTGCAGAGATGTTCAATTAGGGTTTTTTTAAACAGTGTTCCATGTCATAGGAAGGAAATACCTCATTCTGGGACATCGCTGATACTAGTTGTGTGGATGAGGGATTTCAAACCAGGCTGTCTTCTCAGAAGGAGAAGAGTTTAGGGATTAGCAAGTGTGCTAAGCTATGGACATTGGCCTGTTAGGACAGTTAGCGGATATCCTTGTCTGAGTCCACTCATGAAACTCCGGCATGAAGCTGCTCTGGAACTACAGAGCTTTTGAATTTTTCTTCTCTAACAAAAATAAGGAAGTGGTATTCCCCCCTCTTGAAATCTGTCAGCAGTTCCCAAATTAGTCAAATTGCAGCAAATAAGGTCAGTTTTGCCACTTCTGCCAAAATGCTGGGTTGCTCAGTATCTTTCATGGTATTTGTGCCATTGATAATATTTGTTCTTGTTTTTCAAGTGTCATTAGGTGAAAGTAAAAAGAATTTTATATTTTCCTTCAATTATATTGGTCTGTTTCCTGTTGGATTTCTTTCACAGAACATGAACCCAATGGTGTGGCGCAAGATGAATATAAAAAAGAACAACTTGTCCTCCAGAAGATGTTTTTAACACTCGACTTTAAGAGAAAGGTAATGCTAAAGTTTATTTTAGAGGACACTGATACTTCAGTTTGAATATACGTGTTAACTTACATTGGCTCAAGTTATTTTAGGATGTAAAAGAAATTAAGTTTTTAAACCAAAAGAAAAAACTTGTTTGTTGTTAGTAGTCTAAGTGCACCATTGTCTTTTACATTGTCACTGAAAATCAAATCCCCTAAAGCAGTTTATTCCTAACATTTTGAGATTTTTCTTCTTATTGAAAATAGCCTTTTTATTTTGAACACTTTTTAGCCAACTGAAGCTGGTGCACTTAACAGGAAAGGAAGTGTGTCATTTCTCATTAGTCATATTTCTCCATGATGTCCCTGGGTGGGGATGGGAAGGAAGAGTTGTAGTGGTGTGTGTGCGCTTTTTAATCAACTATCTTAAATAATCAAACATGCTGAACAGTACTACAAGGCCCTAGTTCTGTAATGAGTACCGTGTAGCTACCCTGGTCCACTAACATGGAGGCTATTGCACAGTTGAGACCCAAGTTAGTTATTCAAGAGAAGTGGGTAGTTGATTTTTATTTTTTTAGTCTCTCCATTCAGCAAGCTAATCTCTACTGCTAATCTCAGCACTCTTTTACTGAAGTAAAAGAAGAGTAGTTATGCTAGGAGTGGGGGTTTTCTGTTGCTCTTGATAAATAAAGCTAATAGTTAAACAAAGCAATCTGATCTTCCCTTTAGGAAGTGGTGAACAAAATAATCAATCTGTTGAACATAACAGAGCATACACAAAGTGCCTTGATTAATGAAGAACTGGTGGAGTGGAAGCGTAGACAGCAAATTGCTTGTATCGGGGGTCCTCCCAATGCCTGTCTCGACCAGTTGCAGAATTGGTAAGTTTTTTAATCAGTGGTTCTCAACATTTTTAGACTTAAGGCACCCCTGGATAAATTCAAGACAGCTCTTGGAAAACACCAGCTCTTAGGTTTCTCTCTTTTTCACCTACAAAAAGATAATTGAGCAGTTTTTCTAATGCAAAGAACTTAGAAAGACCAGAACTATGGATTTATATTTTAAATCTCTGGTTTCATCTTGTGAATCATGTTTGTAAACCTAACTGTGCCAACATTGTGTGGCACCCTGTTACACCCTTGAAAAGATAGCAGGGCACCCTGTTGAGAATCACTGTTCTAAATCAACATTTGAAAATAATAAATGCTTTGTAAAGATTAACTGTGGGCCAGAATATAATACCATATATGCTATTGTTAAAATTAAGATTTCGAAACCACAGGAGAGTCAATAACACGAATTGCACTGAAGAAAGTTAGTAGACACTGCGTTGCAATAATCCTTTTTGAGTAAGCAAGGGGGAGCAGGGAATATTAACTGTTTCATGTGCAACTGTGTGTTAGATGCAGTGTGCCCATTTAAATTCCAAAAGACATGCTAAATGCTTCTGTAACTGTGAAGTCCATAGGCAAGAACTTAGCCTAGTAACTTCTCATTTCCACAGCAGTGGAAGTGGCATTCAAAGGAAGTGGCATTGAATTTGTCCCAGTCAGCCTAGATAATTTCAGAACAGGAAACTAGAGCCCTAATTAGGGGAAAATAGTTTGTCCTATATGTTTCAGTAGCAGTTTTCCACGTCATGCTTTATTGCTATGGCTGCTTCCCTTAAGTTATTTTTAAGCTGCAGAGATAATATATTGCAGGAAAAAAAAATCTCCATTGAAGCACCAAAGGCAACACAACAGTTCATTTAAAAAGCTTTACCAAATACTTGCAGATTATCCAATATACAAAGCAAATCCTCCAAGAAATAGATGGCAGTTGTGCTGTCTTATCCACAAACTGCATTATCATAACATCCAATTTTTACCATGACAAGTTGCCTATGGACTGTGCATTTTAGGATATATCTGTATGGCATAAGGCAACAGAGTACAGACACCTTGTGGTAGTTCTGCATGCAATAGTTTTGGACGCAAAAGCAGTATAAACTGCATTATTGTGGTGCTAATAAGTTCCACTGAGAAGTTAAACAGTTAAGGCTATCTCTGTATGCTACTGTCCTACACCACGTGTACCAGGGTTTTAGCAACCTTTTCAAGCTGTGGTCTCGATTGCCACCACCGCAGCTTTTCCCAGCAGCAGCACAGGGAGAGTGTCTGCAACTGACAATTTTCCCTGAAGGGAAAAGCAGTAGCAGTGCTAGGACTGCGCACCTGCCTTTCTGCCAAACTGGGTCAATCTGGCTGCTGAGACCCTTGGACTGCAGGTTGGATAAATGGCTCCATGGGTGGAATTCAGGTGGTAGGTTGCCAACCTCGGATGTAGACCCTTGTAGGCATCCTGTTGGGCATCTAATCACTTCTGCAGTATAAGTCTTTCTACTAATAAGACATATCATTGTAGGTTCACCATTGTTGCTGAGAGTCTTCAGCAAGTTCGCCAGCAGCTTAAAAAACTTGAGGAACTGGAGCAGAAGTTTACTTACGAACCAGATCCCATCACAAAAAACAAACAAGTCCTGCAGGACCGAACTCACAGTCTTTTCAGACAACTCATTCAGAGGTAAGAAGGCATATATTGGTTTTTCTCTCGTGTAGTTGTGAATCTGTGGAAACTTCATCTCTACACTGAGTAGAGAGAGGTAGTTATCTGTGTTAGTCTGAAGTTAAGCAGAAAGCAGGGCAGGGTGGCGGTTTGTGGGCAACAGCCAACAACAGTCACCTATGAAAGTTCATTCCTCTGTGAACCAGTGAGTGTGTAAAGTGCCATCTTGCCCTTGCCTTCTGCCATCTCACCCAGTCACATGATAAATTAGTGTTGCTTTCAGCATTTTCCTTATTCTTTAGATAAAATCCCACCAAGTTGACTTCCCCTGGGAATTTTCTGTGTAAGAACTCCCATTTAAGCTCCTGATTCTGCATCAAAGTTGAAAAGACCCTTGTTGTACCTTTAGTAAGCCTGCAGGCTCCAGTCCTACCCCTTTAGTCTATTTCTTGTTTTAGGCTTAGCTGAAAAGCTTTCCCAGGTGGATGTAGACTGGCAACAGAGCCACATAGAACCTTGTGCAGATGAATATCTGCTTGTTGGCCTGTGCTGAATAACCACTGATCTAGAGGTTCCATCCAAGACTGGAGTCCTGTTAACCAAACGCAAAGTAAGAAGCAGTCCTTGCCCTAAAGAATTTAGAGTCAAGACAGCTAAGACAAAAGAAGTGGCAAAGGGGTAAAGCGATTTGTGTAAGGTCATATAGCAGACCACTGTCTGCACTGGGACTAGACCCCTATTTCCTGAATCCTGCTCAAGTGCCCTGGCCACTAGACTCTGGCAAAAGGCTCCTGTCCATTTAGAAACAGTGAAAAGGCCCAGATGCCACCTACCTGCATGTAATGTGTTACTAAGATAAGTAATACTGCCATAGAACACTTTAGGGTGCATCTACACAGCAAAATGTAGTGTTGGTTAGAAATACCAACCAGTTGTTTTTGGCCAGTGTTGTTACACTGCTTCCAGTACCTTTATTAGTTCACTCAAAAATAATCCTGGTAGCTCTATTCAGCTACACATTATGCAACGAAGACATACCCTTAAGAACTTAGTGATTCCTGATGGCTTTGATATAACTAATTAATGGAATGACACTTTTGATTTACATAACATTTTATTTCAAAATTGCCATGTTAAAAAGATATCTGATGAATAAATAGATTGGAAGTGCATATTACATCAGTTTACTGTCACAACATTAAAATCCAACTTATTTACAACACACAATTTCTGTTTTGTCCTAAAGTAGTGTTATGAAGTTTGTAATAAAAATATCTTACTAAAGGTCAAGGTCTGCTGGCTACCCCTGGATATTTCTCCTTGTCAATTCCACAGCCCTGCAGCAGTTTTTAGTCCTAACTGTGCCTGCTTTTTCCTCAGATCTGAAGAAGAATGAACTGCATTTGAAAGCTTGTCTAAATCTATCCCCATCATACAGTTGTTCCAGTAAAATATATCACCCACAAAAATCCTTGCCTTTACTAAAGATCAAAATGTCCATGGCTTGTTCTTCCTGCAGTTCTTTTGTGGTAGAACGACAGCCTTGCATGCCAACTCATCCGCAGAGGCCATTAGTCCTGAAGACTGGAGTACAATTTACAGTAAAACTGAGGTAATTTTATTTTTATTATAAGCCTATTATCTTACCAGCTTCCTGTTGCCAAAAGAGATGCAAAAAATCTTACACTTTGGGCTAATTGTCCAGAAATAAAATACAATGGGGTATTCTGTGATAGAGACATGGCTCTGGCTACGTTTTCTTACAAATTTTAATTTCTCCGTCTGTATGCTCAACTCTGTATAGTCTTCTGGTTAGGAACTAAGCAGGGATTCCATTCAGAACACACTAACTATAGTCATTTGTTGAGGTCCTGGTACCAAGTGAGATGAAGGTATAAGCTACGTGTCCTTCAGGCTGCTTTCATATGTGGAGGAATGATCTTATATTAATACAAGCTCGCCATAAAGCCCAACATTGTAATCACCTGTTTGCACAAGTGCAATACATTAAGGAGCAAAAACCTATCCCTTCCTCTGGTATAATTGTCATTTTATGTATTTTATATTTAATGAGTCTCTGATTGCACCTGTATGTATCTCCTTCCCCCTTCACTCCCCCCGGCTGCAAATCTCACCATTTCAGCGCTCCTTTTAGTTTGCTTTGAAGTTGGCTAATAATCCATGTGCTTACACTTTGTTTAGAATAAGTGTTTGCTTATAAACACATTTTTCAAGGGGGAATAATAGTCTCTTCCCTTCAATGACAGGTGACAGTGTTCCCCTTAGCTTAGCTTCAGAGTTCTTATCTATTCTGTGGTCCTTGGCAATAAAGTCTCCCTGTAAAATTCTTACCCAGAAGCTGATGCCAAAGGGAACAGAGACTGGGGAAATGTTCTCTATAAGGAGTCAAGGCATAGATCCCATTCTGTGCCAGGGCCTCTTGTTTCACCTCACCTTGGGTTTCAGCATTAGGTGGACGGTGAAACTGCCAACATATAGTGCACTAGAACTGGATTCCAAGCTCCTGCTTGGCAGGTGGGGTCTGATTTGCAAACTACATATTTAGTAATTGCAGATTATTTGTAGGGCTTTTAGAGTCTAGGGGCAGGCACTTTGCTGTTCAAAGCAGAAAGCAAAACAAAAACTAGAACCATATTTGAAGGCAACTTCTTGATGGGCAGTATTCAGTCTTTCAGAATCAGATTCACGCTTCTGTTGAAGTTATTGGAAAATTTCTTTTGACTTCAAATGGAAGTGGTATTGGAGTTGCACATGAAAAGTAATTTCAGGTGGGGAAGGCAAATCAAGTCAGAGATTGGTCATGTTTGGCTTATTGACTTCAAAAGGAAGTTGTAGATTAAAAAGCCTCTTTGGGTGGGCCTGCAGTATACAGTGTAATATCAAGTTTGGATACACAGGCTAGCTTTGAATGAACCAGAAGCAGCATGGCCACATTAACTTAGCCTGGGCTCACTTACAGTACATCCATACTGCTTCATTGAGAGTTGCCTTGGATATCTTTAAATAGCACTACATGTGAGATAGATCTGCCTTCTTTTCATTATCAATGTAAAGAGAAGCTCTGTTTTGCAGTTACAGTCAGTCATTTGTATTTATTTCTTTCCAGACTGCTGGTGAAACTACAGGAGTTGAATTATAATTTGAAAGTGAAAGTCTTATTTGATAAGTATGTTGCATATTTTTTCAGATCTTGCATATGTTTGTGGTCCCAATAGATGAAAGAAGAAATAGATATTCCTAACATGCACCCTCTGGTACTCAGCAGGTTACCTGGGGTGGAGTAAGGGAAGCTGGGACCAGCAACTATGCTGGCCCCAGCAGCTTTACTTGGGGGCCAGGGAAGCTGCAGCCATGTCGCTCCACATGTCCTGATTTTTTTCTGTGCAGGTTTTTTTGACCCCCAAACCCCACAAAACCTCCCACTGCAAAGTAGCAGTGCAAGAAATGCCTGAATACTGCACAGCCACACTCATCTGGATGCAGCCATGGTGTTTTCCCCCTATATTTTTATTTCTCAACTTTAGCAGACAAGGCATTCTTTTTGGGAGAATATACAAGAATGAACTTTTAAGAAAAAACTTTTTGATTTATCTAGGTGTGAAAAATTCCCCACACTTAACTTTTAGACACATTTAACTGGCCAAACCCTACTTGAAATAATTGAATACTATTTCCAACTCCAAATATTCAGAAATCAGGCCCAAAAAATCATGAAGTTGTGCAATCGCCTACCCTGGAAATCTTCAATAGGAGACTGGATAGTCATCTTGCTGGGGTCACTTGACCCTAGTTGTCTTTTCTGCCTAGTGCAGGGGGCTGGACCCGATAATCTTCCGAGGTCCCTTTCAGCCTTACAATCTATGAATCTTACAAATCATGATTTTTACAAATTTGAGTTCTTACCCTCTTTCTAGCTGTTTACAAGGTGTTCAGGCTTTCCTGCACAGTCATGAGGGCTAGAAATGAACTTAAAAGGAAAGCTGAGATTCATACATAATAACTTGACTCAGGAGGCCTAGGGTGTTAAGACAAATACCAAACAGAATTCATAAAATCACATGAGTGATTTGGCATAGCTAAAGACTTGGCAAAATCGATGCAAGTGAAATAGTAAGTTCTAACCCCATTTTCAAGCACTTCACACTGCTTTGAATGCAAGTAACTCATTAGCTATCTGTATAGTAGTCCAGTAACACGGTTTACCAACAGCATAGTACAATTTCATTATAAAGCTATCTTAGAAAAACCTGTGCTTTAGTAAAGTATTTGGTGTAGTATGACATATTTTTAATTTGGCGTTCATTTTGCTTAAACAAATGTGACACCTGATTATGCATTTTTTTTGTTTCACAAAACTTTGGAAAAAAGACACATTAATGTTTTTCACAAAGTCTTTTCACAGTTCAGTTATTGCTGTCACTTACAAGAATGAGGGGAAAGAAATGTGTGTATGCATTTAATTTTTGGAACTTAAGAGTTCTGAATCTTTTTTTGCAGAGATGTGAATGAGAAGAACACAGTGAAAGGGTATGTGACATCCACACGTTTCTCTATTTTTAATAGGGGTAACAGTTTAATGAGCAGTCTCATAATTCTTCTGCTCTTTTTGTAGATTCAGAAAATTTAACATTTTGGGAACAAATACAAAAGTAATGAACATGGAAGAATCTACCAATGGAAGTCTAGCAGCAGAATTCAGACATTTGGTAAGGGACACATTAATTCCCCACATCTCTTGGCATTTTAGATGACCATGAGGGACCTTTTTAATCTCTTAAATCAGGCTGTCTTAACTTCTAAGTGCCAGGGGCCCCCTAGGCATGCATGATGCATGGGCACCACTCCCCTACCCCCACCCCACACACTCCCCTGCCCACACTGCTGCTTGGGATGGGGGCAGACAGCAGAAGCCAGAGGAGGGAGCAATGTGGGGGAGTGGAAGCCACATAGAAGCCTGGGGGCTGTGACTTAACTTCTCACAGATCACAACTGGTCCCAAGGCGCCAGTTAGACAGTTCTGTCCTAAGTCATTGTTTGTCACAGATCTTCCTTTAAGTACAGAAGTCACTGATTACATACTTACTCATTGTTAATGCCTCCTGCTTAAATGGTCTCAAGTAGCCAAGTAACTTCTACATATGGAGTTTTCCCACCAGCTTTAATGAAAGCAAGGTTGGTTCATAATCTTAGCAATGATTACTGTACTGGAAAGCTTTTACTCCCATATGGCCTAGAATAAGTGCTTCTAAGGAACTGTAGTAAGGTAGCAGTTTCTGGGATTAAAATGAGGAAACAAGGATTGTTGCAGTAATGGTTGGTCAGAATATGCCAGGCAGAGAAGAGCTTTTGAAATGGTTCCACAGAGGGCTCTTGAAGCACTGGCCAAGTCAACAGTTGAATTGTCTAGGAAAGGGGCTGTTACAGAGCGCTCCAAACATCTAGCAGAGGAAATAACCGCATTGTTATACTGTTTTGAGAAGGCTGGTATCATCACATCTGAAGAGGAATCAAATGCTCATTTAACCTAATTAATTTTGGGATCCTTCCCCCCTGCATATCTGGGGCACTGACAGTGGTACAGAGTTTACTGATATTCTCCTTGACTAATTATCTTCCACTCTAAAATTATAAGCCATTATTAAATAGGTGGGATAAACTTAATAAATAACTGTTTTGCTTGCCTGTAGTCCCTTTAAGGAAGGACTCTTGCGCACAGTTGTAACAGCAAAACAGCATGGTATGGCATTTGTTCAGGCTGTACTTTTCTAAGCCAAATGCTTAATAAAGATATAGTCGGTAGTAAAACAGAATCAGTCTATGGTCTGATTGTCTGGCTTTTACAACTGGAAGCTAAGTGGGATCAGACGCTAATGCAGCAGATTCATAACCAGTTAAGCAGAATGGACTGTGCAAACACTACTCAGTTAATGTAAACTTACATTCACTTGTTTTTATCTTCTGATTTGCAAGTCACTTTTTCAAATGCAGCTGTTATTTATTTGCAAATCTCTCTTGTCTGCAGCAATTAAAAGAACAAAAAAATGCAGGAAACAGAACTAATGAGGTAAGTAACACCAACTTTCTCTCTTTTGGTGTAATTTTGATATAAAGATAGGGATTAAATGCCTGTTAATAGGCCAGACCATCCAGTCCCAGGAGGAAGCCTGCAAGGGAAGATTCACAAGCTAGAAATTCACAGAAAGTGAACTGAAGGGCATGGGAGACTCCTTACTTTCTAGAAGGTGGAATTGTAGAGTAGAGCCAAGTTAAAGAACATCAGTGTAACATTTGCCAGAGCGGGTGACCTGTAGAAAGTGCACTGATTTTTAAAGTTTAGATCAGTGGTGCTCAACCTTTTTGCCCAACAACAGGCCAGATGGGTCCAGTCCATCCGCAGGCCCGATCCAGCCGATGGTCCTGATCCAGTGCCTGGGGTGGGCTCAGTTGCACCCTATCCAGTCATGCGGAGGGAGGCAGGGAGGTAGCAGCTCAGCCCTAACTGGGTCCTATGGGGAGAAGGGGGCTTGACACAGCCCCAGCCCAGCCCCATGTGGGGGTTGAGGAGGGGAGGGGGCATGGTCCAGCCCCAACCCAACCACACAGGTAAGAGGTTGTGACCTGCCTGAAACATTCTTTGGACTAACACTGACAGTAATTTCATAATTATCCAACATTAGGGAAATGAGAAAATTTACCAAATTGTTTTCTGTACAGTATCAAGTAGGATAATGGGCATTGCTACAAAGCATAGCAGCTTAATTCTTTTTTTTTTTTTAAGGGGCCTCTCATTGTAACAGAAGAACTTCATTCTCTGAGCTTTGAGACTCAGCTATGTCAGCCTGGATTGGTAGTAGATCTAGAGGTATGGTTATCTGTTAGATGAGACTGAATCAGTTCTTAGTACCTCATTTGCACAGAGAGTCCAAATAATGTTAAAGTAGTAAGTATTTTTCTCATGAGTTTGTTTTCTAGCTATAGTGACAGTCTGTAGCAAGGTCACTGCTTAGAGCAATAGTACTTCACATTTTTTAGTCTTTCCAATCCTAGCATTGAACACTGGATCTTAAAAACCCATTAGGACCAAATCAGCTCCACAGCATAGCATTCGAATACATCATGCAGCTGCCTTCTTTTGAGAACTGAAGGTTGCTTAGTTGCAGGCAATCTCCAAAGAAAGCCAACTGTCCTTCCTATAAATTTCAACCCAAGAAGGAATGTTTTGGAAAGTTACATGCAAAAATAGGCAATAGCAAAGAAAACTTTTTGTAAATATAATTATAGCACTCCACCAACACTTAACTACAGTCCTTCATACTAGTCAGGTTTGAGGTGTTTTGTCCCCGTCCCCCACTATATTATTGTTTATGTTTTCCTGATACTACATTATTGTGTCTGCTACTGTGTAGATGTTTACATTGTAACATATTCAAGAGTATATCTGTATGCCACATTATTTGAAAGAAGTGTCTCTATTTTTAGACCGCATCCCTTCCTATTGTTGTGATTTCAAACGTGAGCCAGCTTCCAAGTGGATGGGCTTCTATTTTGTGGTACAACATGCTGACTAGTGAAACCAAGGTACTTATAAAGCACTTCCTTTTATTTAAGGGCCTCAACGTAAGATAAAATTTGAAGATTCTTTGAATGACGTATTAAGCCTATTGCATAATTTCAATGGTTGTCTTTTCATGGAAATGTACAATATTTTATAGAATCGTATCTTGCTCAGAGGTTCACTTATTTTCAGACCAGGAATTTTTGTATTGGTTTTTGACTTTTTACAAGGCAGAAAATTTTGCATGATCCTTTCTGTTGTCACATTTTCCAGCTGTATTATCAGATCTTTGTTTCTTTTCCTTCCTATATTAGTTACCTATTCAGAAATAAAATCCACTCTACCTAAGTAACATTAGGGTTCTATTCTGTAAGATTAAACCCATATCTTGCTCTTCCGTGGAGGAGAACTCATTGCAAACTGCTTTTCCTTGGCTAGCAGAAACTATTATATATATATATTGAAATTGTTGTTTTATTTTCAAACTTCATATTTATTTATGCAAATTCAGTACCTTTTATAAGAAGGTACTTTCAGGGTAAATTGCATGTGTTAATACTCTGCATTTGTTTTGCTATAGACCTTGTCCTTCTTTCTGAATCCAGCTTGTGCAAGATGGTCTCAGCTTTCTGAAGTTCTGAGTTGGCAGTTTTCATCTGTAACAAAACGGGGACTTAATGCAGATCAGTTGAGCATGCTGGGGGAGAAACTACTTGGTATGGTCATCAGACAGTATTTCCTATTATATATAAACTTTATGTTCTTTCTTTTTACTTTTAAGTAACTAGATGATTTCTTTCACTGTTGGAGCTAGGTATCTCTTACTGCTGGGCAACAAATGGAATGAACTTTCACACTACTATGATCTTAAGTTCCCTTTTTCATGAAGAAAGTTCAGTTTTTGTAAACAACTCAGAATCATGTTGGATGTTTAATTTGTAATTCTTTTTGCAAATATCAGCTATAAATGCATTACAGTCAAACTTATCCACCCGCCACTATTTTGTGCTAGATTTTAATAGCTAAACTAGTGGTTCTTATTCTTTTTAGGATCACAGCATCCCACCACTGCCACCTTTTTTGATTGTGGTAGCATCCCAGCTGAGAATCAGTGTTGGTTGTGCCTGAGTTCGACTCAAAGCTTCTCAGATGGGTTCTGCTGCCTCCAACTGAAATTGCCCGTGCTTGCTGCACATCCAGCCTGGGAAGGGCTGTGCCATGTACACATACTCTGCCTTGATTAGGGCTCTCTAATCATCCTAAAGCAGGCAGGAGTTGCCTCAGGATGTGCCACCCCCTTATGCTTCTCCCAGGAACAGAAGCAGATGGATCAGTTCCACCCACACCTGTTTGTTTCCAGAAGGAACATAGGGGGTGCTGGCAAAGAAGATCTACACAGCACAAGGCAGCTTTCTATCAAGTGTCCTTAACTGTTCACTTTCTTTACTTCCCCCCACTTAAGCAATGAGAAGATTGGTCCACTTCCCTAATCCTTTTTCAGATGTTGTACTTAAAGCTGGATGAATGCTTGTTTAATTAAATATTTGTTTAATTAACAAGGTCTGTACCATAAAGATAAAGGATGACTTGGTCTTTATATATAGTTTGCAGAGGACAGGCAACCAGTAATTAGAGTACCCTGAGACCCCTTTGCCATAAATGAGAGTCATTTCTAAAAGACGGACATTTTTTGAAACAAGGTGTACATGATTCTAATAGAGAATCGTGTAGTTTACACCAAGCTTGGAAGTCAGGGGATCTGATATTTGTGGCTGTGACGTGTTTTCTGTGTGACCAAGGATGCTACAGTGTTAGAGTGTATAGATTTAGGCCCAGTATTATTTGTGAGAAAACAGAAATAATGGGACAAATCCTCCTCTCTCTACTCAGCAAATACTCAGCCAGATATTTAGAAATAGATGCATTTCCATGTTTGCTTCACCTTCACTTAATCTTGAGCTTAATTGTTACTTCTGAGTATCAACACTGTTGGGTAAAATCAGTTTCCTATGTTGTTTAGGTCCAACAAGTGGAAGCTCCCTTGATGGCTACATTCCTTGGACCAAATTTTGCAAGGTAGGTAATATGTTCAAGTTAACTAGTGAAGACAAAAACAGCATCTTTGCTCATTTAAGAATTCCTTAGGGTGATCATTTCTTTGAGTTGAGGTGCTAAGCAGGCTAATGTTTAGGTAACAGGGTAATATTTTAAGTTATGGCTGGCTCATAAGCCATATGAAGAGAAATTGCACTGCTAATCTGTGTACATCTTTTAAACAGACTGTATCTATTTCCGTAGGAGGCATCTAGAGCAGTGTTTCTCAACCTCTGTGTCGCAAGATATATTTGCGATTGTTGTATATGCAACAGTCATGAACAAACTTTAAAAATGGTTTCTCCTTTAAAGGAGAAAAAATGTAGGAAACCATGGTTTTTCCCCTTGCAGGCTGGCAGAGTTCCAGCCTGCAAGGGGCTGCATGAGCCCCGCCATGCTCCATACACACTCCCTTGCCTCCATACCCACCCCGGGGAGCACTGAGATCTGGGGGTTGGGGATAATGGGTTTGTAGTGAGGAGCACTGGGTTGGGATTGGCCATCAATGTTTACAAATGGGTCTTGGTACAAAAGAGGTTGAGAACCATTGATCTAGAGCACAGAATAGGCATTTTTGTACTTTTATGTTACATTGAATACATGCATCATAGCCTGTTAATCTGCTGTTACTGGCTTTTATTCCAGCACTCTGTGAATCCCCACATGAGGAAACTCAGTAGTTAAACAAAAGAGTGAAATTCTCCAGTTTACTTGTCATGAAAAGTGCTAAGTGGACTGGAACAGATCAGTGGTGCACACTACAAATTGCTTCCCAGACCCAGGGAAGGCCCCAGCAGAGTAGTTGAGAGGATCCTAGTAGATGGGAGGGGGTGGGGGAGGTGGAAACGGGACACAAAAACAAACAAACAAACAAAAAATCCCACAAGATCCTGGATTTCTGTCCCTGCCCTCTCCAATCCCCAACCATCCAATTGCCACTGTATCTATAAAGGTAACATAAGAGTTCTTTAAAATCCTTTCTATTCGTTAGGGTTTAAACACAGCACACAGGCACTTAAACTAATAGTTGATTTCTGGTACCCAAGAAGGAAGTAGGTAGAGGACAAAAGCAATAAAATAAAATAAAGCCCAGAGAGAATGATAAGAAGGTGCCCTTAGCTGAATAGCTTGTCAGCACTGTCACCAGGGCTGGTTACTAACCCAAGTTAAAGCAGACTTGTGGTCGAATCTGTTCCCCTGCAGAAAGACCAGCTACCTGTGGTTAAAGCACCAATGTTGAGTCAGTGATTGGCTGTGTTTTGATGGGAGCCACATGAGGGGCACAACCAAGAACTTATGTCGTAACTCTGCAGTGAAGATTAACTGCAACATAGTTTGAACTGGCCAGGTGGTGCCTGAGCCTGCCACCCCTACAGGCAGCTATCTCCTGTTCCCATGCCATGCAGATCAGCTTTGGATAGTACTATTATATGCTCTTCATCCCCAGCAGCATCTCTCCTCCTACCATATGGGGAAGCTTGAGGTATTTGGGATGAGGGGAAAGGAAGAGAAGGAGACAGAAAAAGAAAGCAAGAGCAGTGGGAAAAAAAGGATAAACAAATTGTAAAGTGTGTAAAGAGAACAAATGTGTCAGGGTGGGAGAAGAACAGAAAGGAAAAAAAATGTGGAAGGAGAGAGGTAGTAGGAACTGCATCAGGATGTGGGCACGAAGATTGCAGCACAATCAATACTGGTTATAAGTTATTTGGGTCTTGCATTTCAGGAAAATATAAGCGATAAAAATTTTCCCTTCTGGTTGTGGATTGAGGGAATCCTTGAACTTATTAAGAAGCACCTTCTCTGCCTCTGGAACGATGGGTAAGAATCTGAAATGGAGTTAATGAAAATTGTTAGGTGATGTCACAAACCTATGGACACATTTATGGAGACAGTTGTGCTCAAAATAAGTGGGACTCAAACTGGGCAAGTAGGCTAGTTCTCGAACCCACGAGGAGACAGATGGACCCTTTGCATGTTAGCTGAAGCAGAGTTACATGAAAATTCAGTGACTGAATGCATTTTATTGCCTCCAGCGGCAAAGGACAGAATAATTTCACATCAAATGAAATAGCACTACCTGTTCAGTCCTTTGCACTATGAACTTTCATCACAGCCAGAAACAGAACTGGTTGCTTACACAAGCTGGAGTATAGCAAGTTAAGACAGAGGGGATCTCTTACAACAGAGGTTGTCCATCTTTTTTAATAAGGGTACCCCCCGGCAGCCGGATGTGGAGCAGGTGGGACGGGGGCAGGGAGGGCTGGAGGGGGTGGCATGCGGTCGGATGCGGAGCGGCAGCAGCATGGGTTGGTGGGTGGCCGTGGCAGCTACAGCCATGTGCAAACTCTCCCTCACGCCCCACGTCCAACCGGCCTCATACCCTCAGTTGACAACCCTTGTCTTGCATCATTTCCCTGTATCTGAAAATCTTGCATTTGTGGGCTACCTGTAGGTGGCAGCAGCTGAATTTATTGGTATTCTGAGAATTCAATGACGTGGAGTCCAACTCCAAAGACTAATCTTCACTGATTAAATGATTAAAATATTAAGTAATAAAGCTCTTTTCCAAGCTCTTCTTAATAAAGCTGAAAACCAGTTCCATTCTCCTTTTTATCCTGGTTTAGTAAACCTTGGATTCCACTATTGCTAATGTCACATATGTAGTCATTTCAGTAATAAAAAATGCCCATTGCCCAAAGCAAGCTAAAATGAGGTCTTAATCCTGTACTTCAGCTGTCAGTTCAAATTCAGACTTATTTTTAGAGTCTTGCAAACAGCTCGTGGTTTTATTCTGGGAAACCTTCATGATTTAAAATAGCAAAGTAGGAACATTTTGAAACTGTCCTTGCTTTCACTAGTTATTTATTGATTGTGCCAAAAAATGTTCTTACCATGTTAGATAGTTATTTTGGGGTGGTACCTTTTTGCAAGGGAATACTGCTTTACAGATCTAATAAGCACGAGTCAGGAATTTTATGGATCCGAGCTTTGATTGAATAGGATGCTTAAGCACATAAGTAACAGAATTTTCCATGCATTTCAAAATAGGTCAATACTTCAGTACCTTGTTGAATAGGGCCCAGAATTTACAGGAACAGAGTCAAGTTTTACATGTTCTCATCTCCGTGTTCTGTCTAATACTATACACAGCTCTGCTCTGGCAGCTTCCCTCAAAATTACCCATCCAAATGCTCACAGTAAACATGGCTGACATCTTAACTCTGTTTTGCTACAGACAGATATTCAAACTGATGATCCACATCCACTAATGGGTCCAGATTTTCCTAACTGTTCAGTTCCTACTTGGATATAATAATAGAAACTGCTGGCTGCAGAGGGGGTTTTTTTGTTTGGGGTTTGTTTTTTTGGGGGGTGGGGGGGTTGTTTTTTGTTTTTTTAAGATTTAGCCATATGGCTCAGCTCCCTCACACACACCCCTCCCCCAAAAATGAAAATATAAATTTAAGTACATTGGATAAAATCTTTGCCCCTTTGAAGTTCATAAAATGTTGCTGCTGACTTGAGGGAAACTAGGTGTTTATCTTTTGAATGTGGAGTTCCATTTCAGTACAATAATAAAGAAAAACATTTTGTAGATATCCGGCTCTTGAACAGCATTTTATTTCCTCCCAGTCTTCCGTTTCCATCTCTGCTCAGCTCTTTAATTAAAAAGCAAATTAAAGGACCCTTTGTTTCCATTTAACCTGAGTACTGTCTGGTAACAAAAGGTTTACAAGAAAAGAAATATAGGTTTGGAAAACCAGCCAAAGGGTTTAAAATGTTTACTAGCATTTTTAGGAATCCCAATAACAAAGTTACTTAAGGAATGAGATAGTAACCACTTGGACTGATGAGGGGGTATAAATTAGACTGCCAGACATTTAATGTTTTGGTTTTTTTTTTTAAGCTGATGAACTCTAATTGCATATGCATAGCACCTATATCAATATAGCAAAAACTGAAATAGCATTTTTCATAGATCAAGTTGAAAGTTGCCAGACAAGTGATTGAGAGTTGTAATCAGAGACACCTTTGTCAGAGTAACCAAGAGCATCCAAAACAGCTGTGTATTTACGGACAAAAAAAAAAAAAAAAAAAAAAAGATTTCTGCTAGCTATTAACTTTCTTTAGATGGGTATTTGTATGAAGAAAGAGAAAGGGCTCAGAGTAATTTTGACCTCCTCCTTGAATAAAAAGCATTTTTGGGGGGAGGTTGTATTTCAGTGTTTTGGAAAGGTCTTTAACACTTTTGCTTTTGATCTGCTGGAAAAACATGGGCAACATGTTTTCCAGCACCACAAAAATTACTTCTTACATTTTTATATTGTTGGTGTTGTTAAAAAGACACGCATAATATTCTTCTATTAATAAACCAATTGGACAGATTCCATGCTTAGTTATGAGGTATACTTCAAATTCTTCATTTCAATGTTAACTTTATAATGTTTTTCTCTTCAATACCACAGCTGCATCATGGGCTTTATCAGTAAGGAAAGGGAGCGTGCACTGTTAAAGGACCAGAGGCCAGGGACATTTTTACTGAGATTTAGTGAAAGTAGCAGAGAAGGAGCTATCACTTTTACATGGGTAGAAGGATCCCCAAATGGTGAGTACAGAGATTGATCTTGGTTTTACAATGTAGGTAACAAATTCAAGTTAAAAATTCTTAGTCTTGTGTCTCTTTCACATAGGAAGACCCTGACAGCACGTAAAATCCATCACCTGGCCATGCAGATAACAAGTTCATATAATAATAAGCCATAGCTAATGCATGCTGAACATGCTTTAACCAGTATAGCCGATATACCCAAAAGTCCACCGCTTTCATACTTCAGCAGGGACTGGCAGCTTCTCCAATAGTATCCTTTTGTAGGAAACTAATTCCAAAATCCTCATCCCACTACATACTGCTTTCTTCCCAACATGCACATTCCACTTCCCTCCATACTCCTGCACTGGTTTACTTCTGATTTTATCTTCTGCTGAACATTCCATCTTTATCCATAGCAAATCTGTAACTTCTTCCCCCAGGGTCCCATTCCCTATCCCCCACCATATTCTTTTTTCTCCAGGCTGACCACCTAATTTTCCACACTTCACTAGCAACCCCCAATACCTGTCTTCTAGCAGATTGAAGAAAAAGATGCCATGCAGCTCAGCTCAGCAGCCTGCCTAGCCAAACTCTGACTCTCCTCCTCACTCACAAATCCACCAACCAAGGTAGCCGAGACAAGTCAGGATCTTCACTAAGTACAAAAAGAAGTTTCTCTGCATCCTCCTGTATACTGTAGGACAGCTCAGGCCCTTCAGGCAGGAAGCTAGAGTTATAGCTCCTGACTGAGACCAACAACTATAAACAGCTGATAGAAGAATTTGCCAAGTGTTCCTGCCCCCCCCCCTGCCTTCCCCTCCTCAGCTTACCCAGCCAGAACTTTAAGCTTCCCAGTGGGTCCCCTCCTTAACAACACTTGGGGGTGTTTGGGTCAAATAAAGTAGTACATTAAGTGATGTGAATGGCATGTTATCTGAAAAGGCAGAGAAGAGCCACCTCTGGTGAATTTCAGTGCAGTTTAATTAATCAGTGTGATTGATTACAATCCCTTTCTAGGGGTGAAGATAAGTTAACACAAGCTGGGACTAAACATGTGGAAGGAGCTTTTGTTGCTTATATTTTTGTTTTATTCTTTCCTTCCTAAAGCTCTACTTGCTTGGAAAATAAAAAATTGCAAATCTGGTAAATCAGGTTTAATTCCAAAAGGCTCTTCCTTCAGCTGAGGCTCTCCAAATATGTAAGCTTAGCTGTGCTTTTTCTTTGCATCTTACACTATACTTTTGGAACACCTATAGAATCCACCTTCTTCCTTTTTCTCTAGAACCTCAGTTCCATTCAGTAGAACCTTATACCAAGAAGGAGCTCTCAGCTGTTACATTTCCTGATATAATTCGCAATTACAAAGTGATGGCAGCTGAAAACATTCCTGAAAATCCACTGAGATTTCTCTACCCAAATATTCCCAAAGACAACGCCTTTGGGAAATACTATTCCAGACCCAAGGAGAGTAAGTAATATCAATTACTTGTTTTCATTAGAGTCCTGAAGTATTGACACATTTGTCATTGAAGCACTGGTGTATCAGATAAGTTCTGCCATGCAGTTAAATGATTGAACTTTACCTTCAGAGTTTTAAACCAGATGTGGTTTAAAAGGCCCTGTCTGTTAACATAGAATCCAATAAATTGAAAAATGGGCACTTGTCGGCATCAGGTCATGCAACTGTCTGTGAGTCAGTAATATTTTGCCATGATCCTGTAATTATAAGCTGGGGACTGTAGTTAGTTTCCCAGATATGAAGCTGGCACTTGTATGGAGCTGCTGTGACTTCAGTAGCTACACAAAGTAGTAGTGGGCTAAGAGAATCAGGGACATGCTTTTTCGTCTTGTCTTTACTGTTTGCTGACTTGGGTGCTATCACATGCACAAAGAAAGCCAACAGGAAATGCAGAGAAAGTCTGTCTCCTTATCTTTTAGTTCTAGCACTTGTAATCGTTATTAATAGTGACTGCAAAAATTAATATTTGGGTTTTTTGTTCTATGTCTTTAATTCATAATGTTCTTTCACGAAGTGAAAAACCTGCTAAAGTGAGATTTTATTTGTCTGGGGGTTTTTTGCTTGGTTTTTTTTAGCCTCAGAGCCTATGGATTTGGATGGCCCCAGAGGACATGGATACATAAAGACTGAATTAATTTCTGTTTCTGAAGTGTAAGTTTACATAGAAGCATTGGATTTTCAAAAAACTGATTGTGTGTTCCACAGTCAATCAGTATATTTTAAGTGTTAAGAAATGCATATGAATTACTCCCACCCCCTTCACACACTTTTCTAAGCCCAACAGATAGAACAACACCAAATCTTGTCCAGGTACAATTAAGAAGTCAACCGTATAGTAGCAAACAGTGAGGAAGCCTTTGTAGTATATTTATGGTTGCTCCCATATTTGAATGCATGTGAAAATTAACTACTCGGGTCATAACTTGTCTTTAGAAGATAAGGGTGTATCCCAGTACTGGCTGTAAAGCCCCACTTGTTTTGCAGAGTAAAACATGCTGTCTCAGCGTGCAGTTAAGTGCTAGCAGCTGGGCATTCTTAGTAGAAGGCCCTCATTTGTGAAAAATTCTTGCTCTAATAGTCATTCATTTTCTAGAGATCCAGGAGTGCAAGTGTCAGTATTTACCTGAAGACTTTATTAGTACTGTGCACAGGCATGCGCACTAGTTCTGTGCTAGTAGAATCTATTGCAGAAGTTTGGCAACCTACAACTCACCTGTGTAGTGTAACTGCAGTAACGGCCACGTGAGGTCTTCATAATTTTACTGGATGACCCATTCCTGTAATACCTACATGTTTTTTAAAATGAATGAGACCCCTTTATACAAGGGGCATCATGCTTAGAAATGAATTCGGGTAAATAGAAGAGTTTGACATGGGAAACGATAGTGTATCGGTGCTGCTAATTGATTAGAATTAACGTTAACCCAGTGAAAGTTTGTCACTTCTCTTCTTTCCATTCTAGTCACCCTTCCCGACTCCAGACAACAGAAAACCTCTTACCCATGTCTCCGGAGGAATTTGATGAGGTCTCTCGAATTGTGAGCCCTGCAGAAATTGACACTGTGGTGCGTATTATGATGACAAATTCTAAGGCCTGGGGTATCATTTGCCTTTTAAAAGGCTTTTTTAATAATCTTGTCATAATATTGCATATTTTTTAAATGTTCTGAATATAAACTGCTCTCCCAGAATGAGTTGCCCCTTAAGAGGAAATTGGGGAAATCCAATTGCCTTTACTTTCAATCTAGGCCTACTTGTTCCTTTTTAAACACAGTATATGGATTTGAGTTCTAAGTAAAAAGCTGTGTTCACAATACTTGATATCCAAATATAAGACATGAAGTTTCATGGAGGTCTAGAATTATGTTCCCTTTTTTGTGCATTTTACTTTATGTAAAGCCAAATAAAAAGAGTATATGGGTAGATCATGGAAAAGAAAATTACCATGCCAATTAATAGACCAGGACTCATAGTTCTTCTCATCAGACAGATAATATGCGACTAAACTAGCACAGCTTTCTTGATCTTGTGGTAGGCTTGATGCTGAGAGATCTGAATCTCCTCTTTGCAAACTGAAATGGGCATATTCTTTTTGTTAGTTGAGCACGTAATTGTTGAGTATTGGGAAGGTTTATTTCAAAGCATGATCCTAACTCGCCTCTCAACCTTTACTTTTAATGTTACCCAAGAATTCTGATACCAGAATCCAATGCTGAATTAAAAAATAGCAGCCATGGTATTCCCAATACTGTCACCCCATGAAAATATAAGTGCTTAGCCCTTCAGTGCCTCTTTACCTTTCTAACATGCTATAAAACTGCTTCTTTCCCAAGCTTTTTGTGACTGATTTTAAGTTGCTTACTCAAACTAAGCTGCTTCTCTTTCTTTACAGATGTGTTCAGCATATTCAGCTTAGAAGTTATGGGCCTCTCTATAGCTGTGGGCACCAAAATGGCCCCACAATAGGCCAGCCTTTTTATGTGCCACTTGGAAGAAGAATTCCTCAAGAACTCCACCATCAAACCCTTATTATACTTAAGATATATCGATGATATCTTCATCATTTGGACTCAAAACCGACAATCTCTCATTGTTGAATTTCTGATGGAACTCAGTCACCATCCCTCCATCCAACTTTCTCTAAAATACTCCAGCACCAACATCTCCTTTTTAGACACAATGATCAGTATCCAGAATGATAAAATTCAGACCACATTATACAAGAAACCCACAGACCAACATACATATCTGCACAGAACCAGCAATCGCCCTAAACACACCAAAAAAGCTGCGATACCAAGCCTTCAGATACCACCGAATTTGCACTGAAGAGAACACCCGGGGTTGCCACCTCACCAGTCTTAAAAAAGCTTTCACCAAAGGACACTCCTCCAGAGAGAGAGATGGCACGTTTGAAAGAGCCACCTGGATACCACATGAAGAACTGCTGCAGTACAGAAGAAAACCCCCCACAAATCGCACACCGCTGGTTATGACATATCACCCCTCCCTCGAACCCGTACGGAAAATCCTTAAACAATTGCAACCCGTACTAGAAAGAGATCGTATTCTTAAAAAGATCTTCCCAGAGCCACCCATCCTAGCCTTCAAACAAGCACCGAACCTCGCTAACCTCATCATCAGAAGCAAACTTCTGGGTTACACCCAAGGGTACTCAGGGAGCTGGCGAGCATCATAGCTCAGCCCCTGGCACAGATCTTTGAGAGCTCTTGGCTCCCTGGTGAAGTGCCCGATGATTGGAAGAGGGCCAATGTCATGCCTATCTTCAAGAAAGGGAGGAAAGTAGATCCAGCAAACTACAGGTCCATCAGCCTGACCTCTATCCTGGGGAAGGTCTTGGAAAAGATTATCAAGGAGGCCATCCTTAACAGACTAGCTGAAGGCAATATCCTGAGGGATACCCAGCATGGGTTTGTTCCGGGTAGGTCTTGCTTGACCAATCTCATTTCCTTTTATGACCAGGTGACCTATCACCTGGACAAGGGGGAAGAGATCATCGTTGTATACCTTGACTTTAAAAAAGCCTTCTATCTGGTGTTCCACAATCACCTCTTGGCTAAACTAGCTAACTGCGGCCTCGATGTCACCACGATCCGCTGGCTGGGGAATTGGCTCCGCAGTAGGACCCAGAGGCTGGTGGTCGACGGGAACCAATTGTTTTGGTGCGCTGTGACCAGTGGGGTCCCTCAAGGCTCTGTCCTAGGGCCTATACTATTTAACATTTTCATCAATGATGTGGACATTGGTGTCAGAAGCGGACTGGCCAAGTTTGCTGATGACACCAAACTCTGGGGTAAAGCATCCACACCTGAGGACAGGAGGGTGAT